GGGGGGGGGGACGACGATAACGCGTAGCTCGCGGATTATTGTTCGCCGGCCGACCTTATCGCGGGAGACGGTGGGCTACGACGACGACGTCAGTATCGTTGACAAGACGAACCTCGCCGCTCCCGGAAGCGAGCGAGAGCGAGGGCGAACGGAATGCACGCGTTGCCGGTCAGATAGCGCGCGGCTCGTGTGCAACGTCGCGATTTCCGAGGGACACGGTGCGTGTGTGCGTGCGGCAACGGTAACCTCCGGGAGCACGCGACCGTAATATTACAGACTGTAAAATCTCTCGCCGCGCCGCTTCGTCGTGGCGCATCGACGGGTTGCCGGGAACGGTAATTAACTGTCCGCATCGCGATGCGCCGCGTCGTCACATCGCGTTCGGTATGCACGATCGCAGGCCCCGGGATCGCGCGCGCACGCTGAGAATCCGCGGACGTTATCTCGTTCCAGGACCGATCTTTCCTTACCGGTCGGATGCTTTCGATCCGTTCGCCGGAGCCCGCGAGCTAGCGCGAGTTCAGCGAGTATCTCGAATACCGAGGCCGGTTTTTGCGCGATGATCGCAATTATTCCTTGTTTTCGTTACACTGGAAAGTGAGTTTGTTCCGATCTACCTGCACAACGGACAACCACGCGCGTTTTTGATCGAGGAAAGCAGGATTTTTCATCGAAAGGACAAAATTTGATTCGCGGGAACTCGAAATTTGGTCCCCTTCAAGCGAGACGCGTTTGTTCGTTTGTTATTTGTGAAATATAAAGGTTACTTTACAGAAATGAAATTTATTTCTGTAAAATTAACCGTGTATCGTCCCCATGAATTTGTAAGTACCTTTTTTCAGCGTGGTCAGATGTTACGTTGAGAAAAATACTTAAAAATTCATTCGTGGGGAATATCAGGTTCACTTCACAGAAATAACATTTATTTCGCAAATTTTTCAGTATTTCGTTCCGCGCGAACGAATACCGCCCTATAAGTTTCCTGAAAGGGAAATTCCACTCGAAAAATAAAATGGCGATTGAATTGTTTCGAATGACCTTTCACCCGCGCAGAGTGAATCCTTCCCTCAGAATCGTCCGGTAACCATTTTCACTCGAAATTGCATAATGAAGCCGATATATTTCACCGTCATAGAATTAATTCACTCTAACCGATTGAAACGTTCAATATGAATTAAGAGGATCAATCCTGAATTTACGTTAAATATTCGCCGAAGTTAAACATTCGCTCTTTGTGATCCCGAGTGGCGGCATTTCAATTCGTTCATTCGACTGATATCGCGCTGGTTTTGAGATGTCACGACGAGAAATTTCGAAAGTAAAATACAAGAGCGGAGATTGGTTATGGCGCGAATTTCACGCATCGCCGATGCGAGGAAGGTACGCGACAATGGGCGGTGTAACGGTAAATATCCCGAAACGGAGTAATCGCCGAGTATTCTGTTCGCGCTTTCGGATTGGCGAGTAGTAAAACTCGGCGATTGCGCACGGACGCACGCACGCACGCTCGCGCGCATCGAGTCTCGAGAAGTCAATTACGTGCGGGTAAAAAGCTATAATCCCTATTACATCGGCGTGTAAGAGGCAGCACCGTAAAATGATTTCCCACCGTGTCGTTGATGCACATCAGAGAACGCGTAGCGTGATCGCGGAAAAATTGCCGGCCGGTTTCTCCTTTTCCACCTTTGTACATTGATTTTCCGGAACGGTAACAATGTGAAACCGGTCCCCTCCCTACTCTTAATGCGTGGCAGTTCCGTTAGAATCCCTGAAATTATTGTACGCTTTGGAGCATCTTCCTCGAGCACGCAGGAGCGAACGACGCGGGTAAGCGAACCGAAGGAGAACGATGCGCGCTTTCGAGTCTAATTAACGGCCTCGGGGCGCGAATACATATGACTTTTCCCGCCACGTTTTCCCGAGCTCGTTTCTTAACTCCAAACCCGACGGTGCGATCGTCGAACGCGAGGGTTCCGTTGCGGATGCGGCGACCGCGTTAGGCCGCGAGCCGAGATATATCAATCCGTCAAATCGACATCGGCTTCGCTCTTGTCGAACCTCTCGTGCCGCTCACGGCCGCGCGCGGACCGGTCTATTTAAAAGCGGCAGATATCCGCGATCTCTCTCTCCAAAGTCTCGAGATGGAAACTCGATCCGACACATCACCGCGCGATCCCTACGAGACCCGGACGCGCGCGAGATATAACTGGAAATGAGATAAAGAAAATTGCGAATAATTCAAATCCAAATTGCCACGGACATATTCCCCGACAAACAGCGATTCGATCGCGAGGGGGAGAGTAGGACGGAAAGGAGGGCGGGAGAAAAAGAGGGAGGAGGAAGATAGTGGTGAAGAAGAGGAGGGAGGGAGCGAGCGCGCGAAACCACTCTACAACTTTTGATATCGATGCATCATCTCGATCCTCGCACCGGGTTCTCTGATCGATTTTCATTCCGCGGGTTGCATGGCGGCTCGCTATCCGGGTGCTATCTTCAACCACCTCGCCTTCGCCGGCTCGCGGGATCTACGGGGTGCTCGAGAAGTAACCGTCCGATATTCCGGAATTACGATTGACGAAACGCAATCGACGTGACGTCCGATGCCGATCGGTCGGGGTGGTGTAAACCCGAGAGGCCCGGCCGAATTCAGTCCGCGTCCCCTCGAGACTTTAAACCAATGAGAGAGAGAGAGAGAGTTCCCAAGTTTAAATGCCGATGCATTTTCGACCGACTTCGTTCCCGCGAGAACGGAAATAAACGTGCCATTATCGTCAATTTGAAGCTTCGCGAGAAAGACGAAAGGAGGAGAGGGAGAGAATCGTCGCATCCCCTGGACGACACGGGGGGGGGNNNGGGGGGGGGGGGGGAGGGGTTGGAATCGAGTGGGTCGATTCTCAGTGGCGATTTGGGTTAACCCGCTGAAAGTAGTCCCGAATTCCTCGAGAGGGCGAGATTCCCTCGCCCAACCGGCGAAGGGGTAGGCTCGCGCGCTCAAGAGGGACACCTTGTATAGAGGTATGTGTAAGGCCCTCCCCCCCCCTCCGCTCTTCACAGCCAGTGTAAGATATCAGCTAAGAAACGGGCCCGTCCGAGACTTTACGACCGCTCTTATAATTATCTCCAATAAATATCTCCGCGGCACGAGAGCGTATATCGAAATACTTCGGCGGGTCAGAGGTGAGCCTCCTACCT